TCTTGCTCATATGTCATTTCATGAAATTCTTCTGTGTCAGCCAATTCCTTCTGATACAGTGACTCTGTGTATTCTTTCCATCTTCTCTTGATACTTTTTGGATCATTTAATATACATAGCATATTTTGCTGCCACTAAAAGGACAATGACTTAAACCCATTAGCAGCTTTATGGGAGAAAGGTGGACAGTCTCCTCCAGCCTGAGACACTCAATGTAGGATCACAAAAACTGACTTGATGGGAGTATATGAATTACCTGAAAAGCACTAAAAATGTGGATTTAAACCTGGCTTAAAGTGTGGTTTGTGTACCAGCAGCATCAATATTCCCTGGAAGTTAGTTCCCTATAAAAAATGCAGAGTAGGTTCTATGTCAGACTACTGAATTAGAATCTGCATTTTCACAAGACTGTCAGGTGATTTCAGTATTGAGACACAATGAAATAAAATGATAACAGTTCATTACAAGTACTGACTGGCTAGATCCTAAGAATTTTCCAGACCAAAAATAAAAGGAAAATATGGAATTGGAGAGGACAATGACTTGGGAGGCCACCCCTGCCATCAGCAGAGTCCAATGAATTTGGATATTCCATTTAAAGGCTTATGAACTAATGGGGTAGAATTCAAGTCCAAAGCTTCAATTAGGAGAGAACTGCACAGAAAACTAACAAACTAACCTCACAATAAACAATCTAAAACCCCAAGAGGAGTCAGATCCGATTAGATGGTACACAACAAGAAAAATAAATACATAAAACCCCACAAGGATATTCTCACTGTTGGCATAAGCCATAGGGAGCAGCTAATGTAAAGGTGGCACATCTGGCAGTTTGAACCCACCAGCGCTCAGCAGGAGAAAGATAGGAAAGCTCCTCCCACAGGATTTATAACCTTCTAATAACCTGCTAGAGGGTCAGCTACAAGTTCGTTCTGAATCTACAGTAATGAGTCTGTACTTGGGGCTGGAAAAAAAATCAGCTAGCATTTATTACATGGTAACATTATAAGCTTTATCTTGTCATGTATCAATACAATCTGTATCTATTATAAAGTTCCACCTACTTCATTGTATCTTCCGCAACATCTGTTCTTGTTGAGTACCATCAAGTTAGAACTGACCCATAGCTGACCTTCCAGTTAGTTTTCAGAGGCAGTACATAAGAGAGGGGAAAGTGCCCATTTTTTTTCCGCTGAGTAGCTGGTGGATTTGAACCATATACCTTTCTGTTGGCAGTGTGATTCCTTATCACTATGCCTGCAGACCCAACAGAGTGTGTAAATTTTCTAACAATATCACTAATATCACATTCAAACTAATTCCTGCTATAGATTCTCCAAAAACAACTGCAAAAGTACATCATAAGAGAACGGCGAGCAGCACAAGCTTGGTTTAGAAGAGATTGTGGCACTAAACTTTATCAACAATGTCAGATGGAAAGCAAAAAGTACCAGAGGAATGTCTGTGTTTCATTGACTATGCAAAGGCATTTGACTTTGTGGATCACAACAAATTGTGGCTAACCTTGAGGAGAATGGGAATCCTAAAACATTTGATTGTGCTCATAAGAAACCTATACTCAGACCAGGAAGCAGTCTTCAGGACAAGCAAGGCCACAAGGACAAGCAAGGTTAAAGATTAGGAAAGGAGTGAGTTAGGGATGTGTCTTGTCTCCATAACTTTTCAATTTATATGCAGAACAGATCATTTGGGAGGCTGGGCTTTATGAGGAGGAATGCGGCATCAGAAATTGGAGGCAGTCCCATCAACAACCTACATTATGCAGATGACACAACCTTACTTGCTGAAGCTGAGAAGGACCTGCAGTGCTTGCTGCAGAAGAACAAAGACTGTCATCTTCAATATGGATTGAAGCTGAACATCAAGAAGACAAAGATTCTTACCACTGGGCCAACTGTCAGCACCACGATGGATGGAGAAGAGATTGAGGTTGTCAGCAATTACAGTTCGCTCGGCTCCACAATCAACACTCTTGGCACCCGCAGTCAGGAAATCAAAAGATGAATTGCACTGGGACAGTCTGCTATTGGGGACATCTCCAGAGTACTGAGAAGCCATGATGTCAGTCTAGGGACTAGGTGTGCCTGATCCAGGCCTGATCTTTGCAATTACTTGCTATTAATCAGAGAGCTGGACAATAACTAAGGATGACAGAAGAAGATTCAAGACTTTGATTTGTGGTGATGGAGAAGTCTTGAATATACGATGGACCATAAGAAAACAAATAAGTCTGTCTTAGAGAGGGTGAATCCAAGTTTCTCTTTGGAGGCTAGGATTTTGAAGCTCTGTCTCACATACTTTGGGCACATTGCCAGGGGGGACCAATCCCTGGAGAAGGACATCATGCTTGGAAGGGTGGAGAGACAGTGCAGGAGAGGAAGACCTGGATGGGATGAACTGATACAATAACTGGTGTCACGGGGTAAGTGTGTCAGAGTCAATGAGACTGGCTCAGGACAGGGTGGGCTTCAGAGCTGTTGTACACAGGGTTTCTATGAGTTGGAGGCGACTCAAAGGCACGTAACATGAAGAAGCCACCAGAGTTCCCTCCCATAACACCTAGAACAACAGTACACAGAGTACTACCCACTGAGTAACTAATAGAAAACCTGGCTAAGTAGTGCAACTGACCCATTATATCAATTCATTATTTTTAAAAATGATAATTCAAGGTATCATAAGCTATTTTAACTTGTTGCCAAAACATACAACTTTACTCACCTCTGCCTTTCTCTGGGCATGCTGAGCAACCACTCGAGACAACAAAGACCAAAGAGCAGGATCAGCTGGGTTACTAAGGAGATATCAAAAGTAACAGGTTTAGAGAAGGGAGTTCTTTTACCAAAAAAAAAAAGTATAAATAGGATTGGTGGATGATCTGTCAACAATCTGCGTTACGCAGATGACACAACCTTGCTCGCTGAAACTGAGGAGGACCTCATGCACTTACTGAAGAGGGTCAAGGACTGCAGCCTTCAGTATGGACTGAGGCTCAATGTCAAGAAAACAAAAAAATCTCACCCCTGGCCAATCGGTAGCATCAGGATGGATGGTGAAGAGATTGAGATTGTTCACAGCTTCAGTTTGCTCAGCTCCACGGTCAACACTCTTGGCACCAGTAGCCAGGAAATCAAAAAACGTATTGTGATGGGAAAGTCTGCGGTTAGGGACCTCTCTAAAGTACTTAAGAGCAACGGTGTCTCTCTGGAGACTAAGGTGCGCCTGATACAGGCCATGGTTTTTGCAATCACTTGTTATGCATCAGAGAGTTGGACAATGACTAAGGAGGACAGAAGGAGAATTGACGCCTTTGAGCTGTGGTGCTGGAGAAGAGTATTGAATGTACCATGGACTGCCAAGAAAACAGATTCATCGTAGAGAGGATTAAACCAGACTGCTCCTTGGAGGCAAGGATTCTGGGGCTTCGTCTGACATACTTTGGACATGTTTTAAGGAGAGACAGGTCTTTAGAGAGGGACATCATGCTGGGTAGAGTGGAGGGACAGCGCAGGAGGGGAAGACCCTCGATGAGGTGGATTGATTCAGTGACTGGGGTACTCGCGATGGGTGTGCCAGAGGCAATGAGATTGGTACAGGATAGAGCACGGTTTAGGGCTGTTGAACATAGGGTCGCTATGAGTCGCAAACGACTCGACGGCACCTAACAACAACAACAACAATGCCAAAGATCACATGGTCGACCCATTGTACAATAGCGCTGTCCCTTGCCGTATCCTGAGCCAGTTTCACAACAACAACAACATAAATAACAAACATTTCAGTCAGTAACCTAAATTTAAGGTCTTTTAGACATATAAAGCCAGTTCATATTAATTGCCCATGTTGGGTTGAAAGCGTCATAATTATAGGAAGATAAACTTTGTTATATAAACCAACAATCCTTATGAAAATGCAGCAATGTGATGATTACAAAGCCATTATACATGGAAAGTTAACGCAACTTAATTCATGTTTAAAGAAAATACAAAGACAATGAAAATTATAGGATAACTAATACTGCTTAGAGGAAAAATTACTTCTAGAAATGACATAATCAAGAATAAACTTTATTTTATAAAAAAATATAATCAGCTAGCAAAGATTGTCAATAAAAGAATGAAAGAAAACAAACTACTGACACAATATTCTACTGTTGAAAATAAAGTATCAGTGTTGCTAGTGCGAACAGCTTTCTATTTTTTAAATTTTAAGAGCTAATGAATCTTTAAGCAATGTTTAATGTCTTTTTAAGCAATAAAAAAAATCCTAAAATTATCAACCAATATTAAAACTTGAGAAATAGTTTCATATTAAAGCTAGGTTTGGTCCTTAGCCTAGATAAGGGCCAACTTCTATCAACTGAATTGAAAACAATAAAACCAAAAATCATTATAAGAAAAATAATATTAAATAAAGGCTATATTGAAAACCCTCTACTGTCAAAGTTGATTCCAACTCATTGTGACAATCTTCCAGTTTCTAAGGCTGAAAATCTTTATTGGAAGAAACAGTCTATCTATCTCCTAAGGAGTGGGAAGTAAATTAGAACCACCAACTTTTCAGTTAAAAGTCATATATATTACACAATATACCACCAGGACTCCAAAGCCCTGGTGGCACAGTGTATGTAATTGTATAAAGAAATATATTTATATATATGTATATAACGGGTGGCCAAGTGGCAAGAAGCTGCACTGCAATCCCAAAGGCACATGGTTTGAATCCACCAGCTACCGGAGAAGAATATGCATTCTCCTCCCATGCTATTAACTGCCTCTGAAAACCGCTGAAGAGTCAGTTATGGATTGGTTCCGACTCATTGGCACACAGCAGCAACAACAACACCACCACCACACACACACAACACACATTTGTTTTATATTCTTAAGATAAAACTGTCAGATAACAACATCATTTATAAGGTACCTGTGAACAGCTTTGGATGCTTGTCTCTGTACTGCCACACTGTGGCCTTGGAGTGCATAAATAGCTGAAGTAAGAAGGCACCGCTGATAATTACTGTCTTTCTGTTTGACGTGTTTCAGTAATTCATTAAGTGCTGCTTTGGACAGTGTAGCATCTTGCATGGCCAATCCTAGAGCACACAGAGTTTGAAGGCTTTCTATCGTTGGTTCCTTTAAGATAGAACTAGAAATATATTTTAATTGTCTATTAGTCATGAGGACAATCATTTTTATTATAACTATTAAGGCATGTTTAATTTTAAGTACAAAACAGAATTTATTCAAAGATTAATAAATTATGTGCAGCTTTAGAGATTAATTAAAGCAAATTTCCCAGCTTCTAAGGATAGCAATTTCCCTGACTGCCTGAAGCAGTTAAAAGTACCAACAACCTTTACAAAGCAATAATAATCAGGTTTCTTTCTTTTTTGGTCATTAGGCATAACCGGATTCCAATTCTAAATAAAAAAATTACAGTAATCATGATAACAATTTTAGTTTTAATAGAATTTTAAAAGGTATGAATAATAAGTAAAAACTAAGCTCATCAATGCTGTTGATTGCCTTTGAGTCGAGCACAACCCTATGAACAAAAGGCCTGAAGCCCCTCTACAACTATGGACATTTATCAAAGTTCATAGAGTTTCCGGAGGCAAGTTGTTTAGGAAGTGGATGCCACTCCTAATGCTCATCAATGAAAGATCTGATTTTATTATTCTGATAAAGTTTTATTGTATTTCCTTAATGTTAATGAAATTAGAACTTTAAAAATACAGGTATTATTACACCAAATATTATTATTTGTTCTTTATAAAATATTATTATCATCCAAAGTGTTCCTTGAAGGCAAGGATGGCAAAACTTCCTTCATACTTTGGACATGTTGCTAGGAGAGTCTATTCTTGAAAAGGGATATTCAGTCTGGGAAAGGTGGAAGGTCTGCAAAAAAGATGAAGATCTCAGTGAGGTAGATTGACACAGTTACTGCAACCATGGGCTCAGATGTGTCACAGATGATGAAGACAGCATAGGATAGGATAGGGTTTAGGCCTTCTGTTCATAGGATTACTATGGGTCACACTTGAGTAAACTACACCTAACAACAACCATATTCTCAGATACTTTGGAAATGTTGTTAGGAAAGGCTACTGCTTGGAGATGGACATCATGCTTGGAAAGGTATAGGCTCAGCAAAGAAGGGGAAGACCCTCAGCTAGATAAACTGATACAATGATGGTAGCAATGGGCTCAAGTGTGTCAGGAGGATAAGGATGGCACAGGACAGGACTGAGTTCAGATCTGTTGTTCACAGGGTTGCTATGAGTTGTACACAATGTGAAGGCACAACAAACACCATATTCCAAGATAGCAAATACAATCCAAGGACAATTTCCATTTTATATGTAAGCATCTGGAGTTCACTTAACCTCCTTCACCTATGAAATCAGATTAGTCTTAAGGATGAATAAAATCAATAATGTTTAGAAATCCTTGTTCATTTTAAAAAGAAAATGTTCACTCTCCAGAAATTTAATATTTTTAATAATTATTACGGATTTTTTTACTATAGTAAAATGAAAGAACTTTCAAAGAAAATTTCTTTAAATTTAATAGAAATATTTCTTACATTAAAATATACCAAATATAGTTTACCAGTATGCCTTTTTACTATGCTTTAGAAAAAGAAACAAAGTGTTTTAATTTTCACATAAGTATAAAATCATGAATTTTCACAGACAGTTCTGTAATAAAGAAATTTACTTTAAAGTATACCTAATAACTCTCTCTGCAAAAGATAAATAGATGTAGGAGTTCAAACATGAAAGGATATTGATTAGACATAGTCAGATGTATCAATGCAAATAACCTTATTTTAAATTGGTACCCCAAAATAAGGAAAACGCACAGTATAATATAAATACAATACTGATTGACTGAATTGCAATTTTTACGCTGGCTCAAAAAGACGAAACAAAGAGCTATCTAATATTGACAAATGTACAAAATCTTATTCGATCAGGTGACAAATTACTCTTAAAAAAATCAGAATACCCACCAACGCACTACACACTGCAACCTATGGCACAGAGTTGAGTTGTCCCATAGGATTTCCAAGGCTGCAATCTTTATAGAAGCAGACAACACATCATTCACTTATGGAGCAGGTGGTAAGTCTGAACTGTCAAACTTTCAGTTAGCAGTCAAGCATTTAACTACTGTACTACCATAAAAAATGTATACATAGCATGTAAGAAAATTAAGATTCTGAAAGACTGGCTGAACTCAGGGTTTAGAATAAATCATGATCTCTAGCCCCAACTATCATCAGTTCAGAACCAGATAGACACAATCCTTTTTCTCAACAAAAGGTTCTTAAAATTATAAGAATGTTACTTACACTGCATCAAATTTTAATATCAACTATACATACCACTTAAAGAGCAATGTCTTGGCTACATCCATTTTTCCTTGTTTATATTCTGTTATTGCCAGAGCTGTCAAGATATGAGCTTTGTCTTGCTCTGATTCAACTACAGATAAGGCTTTTTCATAAGCTGTTATAAACAATTGGAAACAAAAGCAAAATAATATAAAACCAACCTTGATTGACAAACTTTTGTGAGATTTCTTTTCTGATCCTATCTCTCGAAAAGATCTAACTGAAATTATATTTTAACTGTCACCTGTGTACAAGGAGATGGAATGTGGATTCAAAGAAACTCAGTTTAGCTGTTACAAGGTGTTTCTGGGGATATTATGAGAATCATGTTGTGGTGTTCCAGAACTTCTCAAAGTATCTGAGTCACTATCTTTAAAAGCCAGCATAGGTCAGAAGAATACCACTGAGGCCTTTGAGATGTCACCAAAATTGCCATATACAGACCAGCAATCCCACTACTCATTGTGAGGAGTTAGAATAAACAAGACTTATTTTTGTGGACATACACTCAGCACTTCCAGGTAAAACAAAATCAGCCATTCCTAAGAATCCTTGAAGTACCCATTTAACAGAAAGTTACATTGAATCTGTGTGGGACAATGAAAAGCTGCTTTGATTTGTTAATTCAGCTATTTATCATAAATGCTCTTGAGCCTCAGGTTCCTCTTCTGTAAAGTGAAGGTGACACTCAGCTTATAACATAAGGACCATTCATCACAGTCAGTGATATACTACGAGGTCATTCCTCCCTCTTAATAACATGTAATGCGTAATGACTACTACGACCCATTTACATTTTGGAGGCTTCTGTCTATAAGGTCATACTGAAAATTTCTACCCAGTTCTCAAGGAGTAAAGAGTGCCCTTTAGTTTTAAGGAACATACGTACCTTTGCTGCTCTCTTTATATAGACCTTTCATAAATAAAGCTAATGCAAGGCCTGTGATGTCTTCCAATTCTTCAAGAGGTGTTGATTTAAAAGCCTGGATAGCTTTATCATATTCACCAATAGAACTAAGAAGCAAAATGGAACATACTTTTAATATAAAAATGAATTCTCATTTGTATCACTAAAATATATAGGTATTAATATGCAAACATTCTTTCAGTCACTTTTTTATCTTGCCATTTGGTAAAAAATGAGCTATTTGTGTTGAAATGATTAAAAAAAAAACCTTAAAATAGAAATCATATCATTTATTACAAATAGAATGTTTTAGAGGGGTGTGTTTCCTCCAAACTACATACAAAAATAACTTCTTAAGTGCACAGTCAGCTCCAAATCATAGTGGTCCAATGTAAACCAGAACAAAAGACTATTCCAGCATTATTCTCATAATATTGGCTATATTTGAATTTACTGTTGCAACAGTTTTGTCAATCTTCTTTAAGGTCTTCCTCTTTTTTAATTCTTAATGTTATATGGGTTTGCATACACAATCCTTACACATTGTGCTTCATACAATCATTCTCATGCCTTGTGTTTTATAAAATTAATCACCATTGAACTATCTTTACTAGTTAATAACCATTACTCTATCTTTTCAGGTCCCTGCTAGGCCATTCCCATTTCCTTAACCTGCTTCCTCCACCAACTAAATTGTGTGACCCTGTGATTTTTTTTCCCCTGTCCACTCCCACTCTTTGCTCCCACCCTTTCCCTGTTGGACTCCCATAAATGTTTTACTAGTTATCTTTCTATTTTTACAATAATGGTCTTATGCAGTGTTTGTCCTTATAAGACTGAGTTAGTTCACGCGGCATAATGCTCTCCAGTCTCGCATAGTATTTTTTAAAAAATCATTGCTTTTGAGTGCTGCATAGTATTTCATTATGTGAATATACCACAATTTCTCAATCTATTCAGTTATAGTTGGACATTTGGGCTATTTCTATGTTCTTGCAATTGTGAATAACAATTACTGGTGTTCAAATCTTGGTTTGTGTCTCAGTTGTAATTTCCTTGGGGTGTATTCATAGTAGTCGAATAGCTGCGTCATACGGAATTTCTATGTGCAGCTTTCTGAGGAAATGTCAAATTGCCTACCAGAATGTTTGTACCATTTTACAAACCCAACAGTATATGAGAGTTCCAATCTCTTCCGGTCCTCTCCAACATTTATTACTTGCTGTCCTGTTAAACGTTGCTACTGCTACTGGGGTGATATGGTATCTCGTTGTGGTTTTGATTTGCATCTTTCTTCTTGCCAGTGATTTTGAGCATTTCTTCATGTGTCTGTTGGCCGTCCAAATGTCTTCTTGTGTGAAGTCTTTCACTGTCTTTTGTCCATTTCATAACTAGGTTATAAGTCTTTATCTTGTAGAGGCCCTTTAGCATTCTGTAAACTTTTGTTATGAGATGGTATTGCCAAATGTTTTAACCCAGTCAGTAGGTTTTCTTTTCACCCTATTGTAAAAAAGGTTTTGATGCACACCGGGAGTTAATCTTTAGAAGGTCTCATTCATCAATATTATCCACTCCTGGTTGTGCAAGTCTTCCTCTTTTTGAGAGACCCTTCCGTACCAAATGTAATATTTTTCTCCTGGGACCAATCTCTCTGGATAAAATAGACAAAGTAAATGAGACAATGTCTCACTATCACTTTTGAGGGGACATTCTGGCTGTGCTTCTTCCAAGATGATCTGTTTGTTCTTTTGGCTGTCCATGACAATAGTGAAAACTATTTGTCAATATCATAACTCAAAGGCATGAAGTGTTTCTTATTCATTGTCCAACTTTAACATTCAGAGAAGAAAAATGAAAATAGCCTGGCTTGGAACAAGTGCACTTTAGTTCTCAAATTGATATCTTTGCTTTTCAACATTTGAAAAAGGTCTTTTGCAGCAGATTTGCTCAATGTGTTATGTCATTTGACTTCCTGATTGATGCTTCCTTAGGTATTGATCGTGGGTCCAAGCAAAATAAAATCATTAAAAACTTCTCTTTCTTCTATTTATTATGATGTTGCTTAAAGGACCAGTTATGAGAATGTCTGGGGTTTATCCCTAATGTTGAGGTATTATCCATAAATGAAGGCCATAGTCTTTGGTCTACCTTACTAAGTGCTTCAAGTCCTCTTCAATTAAAACAAGCAAGACTGTGTCACCCGTACACAACAGGTTGTTAGGTTCTTCCTCCAATCTTGATGCTGTATTCCTCCACATACAGCCTAGTTTCCTGCATTACCTGTTCAGCAGTTTGAATAATCACAGCGAAGGGATACAACCTGGATGCACATTTTTACTGATTTTACTTAAGCATAAGCAAGTGTTCTGGCATTCTCATTCTACACAACGATAACCATGATTTGTTATGATTCACATGGTTGAATGCCTGTACATAGTTGATGATGTTGTCTTTAGGTGCCAACGAATCATGTATACTCATAGGGACCCTATGAAAAACTGATCTGAAAAATGTCCTATCCGGTGCCCTCCTCACAATCTCTGACACAATCAAGGCCATGGCTGCAGTCACTGCACCTACCCACTTGGATGAGAGTCTTCCTCTCTCCTGCTGCCCCTCCATCTTTGCAACTATGATGTCCTTCTGCAAGGAATAACCTCTCCTAGCAACATGCTCAAAGTATGTGAGATGAATCTTCTTCACCTTTGCCTCCAATGAGCACTTTGGCTGCACATTCTCCAAGACAGATCTATTTGTTTTTTTCACAGTCCAAGGGATCTTTGGCACTCTTCTCCCACATCACAGTTAAAGGCATCAATTCTTCTGTTATCCTGAGTCACTGTCCAGGTTTCAGAAGCATAACAAGTGATTGAACAAACTTTCTGAAGATTGAAAAATCTTCCTGAATCAGGAGCACCTCAGTCCTCAAATTGATATCAGTACTCCTCAAAAATTTGGAGAGGTCCCTGACTACAGACTTTCCTTGCACAATGCATGTCCTGATCTCCTGAAAAGTAGTACCAAAAATATGAAGTCACTGACAGTCTCAATCCTTTCTCCACTCATGACCTACTGGTCCAGTGGTGAGGACTTTTGTTTTCTAGATGTTGAGATGCAACTCATATTGAAGGCTGCAGTGTTTAAATTTCTGCACCAAGTGCTTTTAAGTCCTCTTCACGTTCAGCAAGCAAGGGTGTGTCATCTGCATAGCAAATAAATCACAAATAAACTTCTTTCTAGGTTTTCTCAACTTTCAGGCAAAATCAACCTGACATCAGCTTTTCCTTTAATCATCCAGGAAGCAAAACCTTTAACTGTGGCCTTTATCTCCAGGGTTCCTATGGTTACACCTCACCACGGTCTCTTCACAATCTCCCCACCACCATCATTTCTCAGTGTGGAAAGTGCTTTCTTATACTGGCTCCACAGCTGTTGATGATTTGCAAGACATGTGTCCACAGTTAAGACAGCTGGAGAACACCACAATGGCTAGAAAAGTCAATTTTCAACGGTACTGACATCCCACTCCTGAAAAGGTTTCAATGTTGAACAATTTCTTTTGATACAGTGACTCTGTATATTTCCTCTGTCTTCTTTTCTTTTGATGTTTCCTGTATCACTCAATATTTTACCTCCGTTGTTAAGCAGAGTTGATTCCAACTCATAGTGACTCTATGCACAATAGCTCTGAACTATTTTGAGCCAGTTTCACTGCCTCCAAGAAACAAATCCTCATTACTCCAGTTCCTGTGCCTAACCATCTTATCCAAAGTCTCCTTCTGCTGTGTGGTCCCTCCACTGTTCCAAGTATTTTACCCATAGACTCCTTCAATATTGAAACTTGAATACTTTCTTCATGTTGAGAAATGCTAAGTGTGTTCTTCTCTCTTGGTTTTCCAATCAAAAGGATACATACATTTATACTAAAAGTGGTGTTTACAAATGAATATCATCTTCAAAGATGTGATTAGTTTTGTAAAGAAAAGAATAAATTTATCTTTGGAAAAAATGCCTGAATTAAAGTGATAATACTTTTAAATTATATTAAATTTCAATGCAAGCATTTACGAAGTTATGCTCTATACTTCTATGCTCCTATCTTATACTCCATGATTAGTTCTGACTTAATGGTCATACTCCTTACAAAAAATAGAGTTAATAAACTTTTTGAGTGGAAGATAATTATTTTGTTATAAAATATTATATTTATATTAAATGAAATATCTAAACTAAAGAGAACAGAAATTTTGTTCCATACAGTATTTTGTATTTAACCTCAGTTTAAAAAATTTTTTGGGAACTGATAAAACCCTATCAAATCCTAAACAGAATGGTTTAAAAGATCAAGAATGAAAGACAGTTGAGATGGTAAAATTTTCCTGTCTGTGGATGTGATTCAGTTATATGGTTACAACAGAAAATAATTTACAACTCTACTATATAGAGCTTAAAAATCTAAAAACTAATCCAGAAACATTAAACTGTAGTTCTAATAACATTTCATATGGAATCATTCAATTTTATAGTCACTCTCAATTTTAGCAACCCGTCCTTAATATGAGTTGAAAATCTTACTCCTACAAATCATGCTTCTATTTTCTAGTTCTACATTCTAAAACAAATAGTTTCTAATATTTTGGGCAGGAGGAAGAGTCCACTATCTTTGATAATCTAAGAAAATCTGTCATTCTCTCTCTATCACAAAATGTACAAATGTTTGCATACAATATCAAAGCTCCTGAAAATCAATTTACACTTTAAGAATATACAGCAAAACAGAATCAATATAATTCTTCCAGTCAACCAGGTTTCCACCATCAGACACAGCCACTGCCTCTCTTTCAAAGTCTCTTATCCAGTCTACAAACCATCCATTCTAAATTTAGTATAAACCATAAGTCCCTTATATTGTGGAAGGCCATTGTTAGAGATTACAGGAAATTGATAGCACTGTGTGGCAGTGTGTAAATTACATGTCCCAAAGAAATATCATCCTCTTCTTTATCTATACATGTTCCACAAATCTGGAAAACTGTTTATCACCTCATCAGCCCCACTGCTTTCACCAGAAAAATCCAAAGGATTCACAGAATTCATAGGGGGAAAATATGCTTACCACAGCAATCTGCCATAATTTCTTACTGTAACATGGTAAGTATCTTGATCTTCTGTATTCTGTAACAACAAAATTGCCCTTTAAAAAGGACAAAGGATTTTAAATTATCTATGTGCAATAATAATCTTTTACCTTTCTTCTTTAACTGACTCTATAGTTTTATTTTTTTCTCTTTCACTTAATCTTACTCACTCATTTCCATCAATTTGGAACCAACTCACTTAATTCTAGCAACTCTTTAATGCTTGTTGTAACAGTCTGTATTACACTGGTACCAAAAGCACCCAAATATATTTAGATATTTTAGAATATCAGGAAAAAGAAAATAAAATAATTTATTATATTTGAGCTCCAAATACTCAACATATTTATCTAAGAAATTTTTTGTGTTGTCATATTAAGTTTTAATAAATTTGAAGTATGTGGAAAATTCTCTTGAAAATATCTGTTAATAGTTTGAGTCACAAATCAGAATGTTTTCTGGTATATCTGCTTGTTAGCTATACAAAATTACTTAAATGATATATGAAGTTCAGAGAAGCAAGAGTCATCGAGAGTCCTAAGAGACTTAGAATAAATACAGTTCTGGTGACATATTAGAATAAATATATGCTAACATGAAGATCAATGAGTTCTGGTGAAATATCACTGAGAATCGTCCCATTAACCCAAAGAAAGTACCTGTCTGATGGTTCAAATTCACTAATGGGTTTGAGGGAAAACATGGGTAATCTTCTCTTGTGCAATTTATAGACCCAGAAACCTACCAGGGGGTCAGTTACAAGTCAAATTAGTTTCTGATTTGGCAGCAGTGAGTCTGAGTGAACATGAAGATATGAAGAGCCCCTACTGGTTCTGTGTTTAAAGTCTCTACTGCCTACCAAAAAGATCACTTGGAATCAACCAGCTGCTTCATAAAGCAGTCTGCTTCCATAAAGATTCAAAACCCTATGGGAAGGGAGCTCTGGTGGCCTAGTGGCAAAAAGCTGCGCTGCAATTCTGAAGGCTCGTGGTTTGAAACCACCAGATGCTCTGTTGGAGAAGGATGGGTAGTCTCCTCCTGTGGCAGTCAGATCTGACTTAACAGCACACAACGACAATAACAGAAACAAGCAAACAAACAAAAAAGCACTCCTATGGGGCAGTTCTCGCTGCCCTACAGGGTCTATTTGGTCAGTATGTCCTATGGAGTCATTATGAATACATACTGACATAACGACAAGGGGTTTGGTTGTGACAGTCTATATTTCCTTCTCATGCTGTTTCCTTGGTCAAATTAGAAAATGTCTTCACAACAAGAAACAGCACAATATTTAGCAAAATTTTTGGATTTTTCTTTTTTAAGAACATTACTGTTTGGTGCTGTTAAGCCTATTTCAACTCATTTACAGATTCTATGTGACAGGGTAAGAATGCCTCAAGGGATTTTCTAGATTTGAGAGTGATCCCAGATCTGAATCACCAACCTTTAGGTTAAGAGCCAAGCACTTAATCATTAAGAAAATTAAGGAGAAAGGATTTTTATCCCCTTGATGTTAAAATGAGAAATAAAAACTTGCTAAGAAGTTCAAAAGACAATGCTTTAAAGATTAAAGAGTCTTGTGGTTAGATATATAGAACTGGTGGTTGCAAGTTTCAATATGTTTAAATAAGAAAAACAACAGCAGTAAAAGGCTGGTACATATCCAAGTAACTGCAGAGCTGTCATTTTAAGCCAAAGTCATCACTAATGTTTCACCAAGGGTATCTACAAGTATAACACATCCAACAAAGTGGCAAGCACCCTAAAGCAGTCCAGTTTCTGATTAAATTGTGCATTCATTCTTGCATTCTACCAGATGTATACAATATATGTACTGGTACATTTATTGCCACAAAGAAATAAAACTGTGGTTTCTAATACATCATTCTCCATTACACACCTGACAAAAATAACCTCTTGATCATGCAGACTCTAGTACCACCTAGTGATTATTACTTTGAACTGCAGATAGGCCCAGAAGAGAGATGACAATGCACTTGTACGGTATCTTAGTTACTTACCAGACAAAGCTTCTTTAAAATATTTATTCACTTCGATTTAGGGCATTAATGTGTCTCATTAAGCAATCATTTTCATCAAATAGTTACTCAGGAGACCAATACGTATCCTCCTCTTATTAACCCGTCAATTAATATTGTACAGAAAATAGCCTGATGTTTATTTCATTTCTTAGCACTCTGTACTGATCTTCTTCATGCTAGCACACTGGCTGTATTGTTTATCAAACACGCCAAGCCCACTCCTGTTCATGCGTACTTGCTCTTGCTTTTCCTTTATTGCTTCCCTTCATACAGGCCAAAGTTCAGCTAACTCTTTAGTAAAGCCTTTTCTTAAAATGTATCTAAAACGTAATTTCCTGCCCCTGCACTCTGTCCCTGTGCCCTAATGACTCTCTTTCTTAGCAAATATTATCATTCATTTACTCAGTCATTTGCTGTTGAGTCAGAACCAACTCATAGCTGACCCTCCAGTAGGTTTCCAGAGGCTGTAAATGCTTGGGAAAAGCTTGCCCTTCTTTTTCCCTCAGAGCAGCTAGTGGATTCGAATTGCATACCTTTGGGTTGGCAATGCAACTCCTTATCCATTAGGCCATCAGAACTCAAGATATTATTACCATTGCACGTGATTATTTTATTACTAAGTTTCTCCCCTCCATATCAGAATGCTGGTTCCATGAGAACAGTGTCTTCTTATGTCTAATTCCTTAAAAAATTATCAGTGCTAGGGACACAGTGGTTCAAAAAGTATCTGCTGAATGAATAACCATGCAATAAATATTAAAATGATAAAGTCATAAACTTCTCATTTATCCTTTGATTAAACACACATGTTTAAAGAACTTCTAATGGGCTAGATTTTTCTAACACAACATCCCAAAGTTTCTGGTTTTGCTTTATCCTTCCTTACTTCTTTCCCTCCTTTCATGTTAGGAAAACAAAACAACTCCCTCTTCCCTTTGCATGGAGTCAGTCCCAACTCTGAGGGACTCTACAAGACAGAGTAGAACTGCCTCTTAGAGTTTCTAAAGCTTTAAATCTTTACCGATGCAGACTGCCACACTTTTCTCCTATGAAGCAGCCGGTAGGTTCAAATTACTCTTTATCCACTGCATCACCAGGGCTTCTTTCCTTTTAGGTTATTGTTGTTATGTGCCGTGATTCATATCTGACCCTACAGTGGGTTTCCAGGGGCAGTATGCTGTAAGGGAAGAAACTGTCCATCCTTCTCCCTCACAACAGCTAGTGGATTTGAACCATGTGGCTTTGGGATTGTGGTACAGATTCTTACCACTCAGCCACCAGAGGTGCCTTCCTTTTAGGTTAGACAACAGAAACCAAGAGCTGAAAACCTGAGAATCCATCTTTTCCCTATTTGTGATGTAATAATACAGAGTGAAAGAGCAAGAAAGGGAATCGGGATATTTATTTAGTCTTAAAAACCAGACAAACTAACAAACGCTAATTGATAAATAAGGACTATTTCCTGTCCAGGGAGGTTACCTTTGGTATGCATCTGCTGCTTCCTGTTTGAGGTGCAGATGCTCATTTAAGTAACCCAGCATCGTGAAAGCAGGAGCGTAATCCTGAATTCTTTCTGAAAGTCAAGAAATACATTTCATTTGCCTGTTCACACTAGCTGTATTCATAATTTGTTACTTTTATTAAAAACTTTTCAAGATTTTAATACTAATTCCAGACTACTCCTTAAAGCCTCTGGCATTGTTCAGAACAGTAGTCTGATTTTATTTTAAATACAACTTGCCAGTCACCATTTTACAACCTTTAAATTATTGAAGCATTTATTTAACTTTTAAATATTTTTATTTATAACTATATAATAATTTTCAGTTATTTCTCATATTAAACCAGTCATGAGAAGTATATGGAAATTCAGTTCCTTGGCTAACTACATATGCCTTCTTGGGATTAAATTTAGAAGCAATTTGATAGTTCTATTACAATCCCTACATGTTCTTTTAAAAGATTCTAGGAATAAAAGATTATATGGGTCCTTTCAATGTAGTAGTTTTAATATCAAAACATATGATGGCTTTTCTAAGGTACAATAAACAGAATATATTTCATCTAGTTTAAAGTAGTACTCTGAGAAGTTGTTAAATGCCTTAAATGAATAAAGTATAGCATACCAACATCTTAAGTGATAATCTAGTTCTAACATCAACACATGAAATAAAAATCATATAGCAAAAGTATGCTTCAAAAATTCCTTAAAATCAACACATAACAAGAAGCACGCAGAAAATTAGTTCACTCTAAGGCAAAAAACACCATCAACAGAACAAAGTAGTAACTGTTAACATTCTATCTCATCTCACCCAAATTTTCTTCTTCTAACACATACAGTTTAATTTAATAAGTAAGTATATAAAGTGACTCTACTATAGAATTACAGACCTGGCTAACAAAACTATTAGGGATGTTTTGTTGTTTTAGGTATCCGAACTTTCCAGAAAGCTAAAGATTTATTTCAGAGTAAATCCTCCACAAATGCTACCTAACCTGTTAAGAAATCTATCGGTAACATTTCTGACTACACATTTTCTCAGTGGTTCTAGGTATTCATGAGGGTTATTCATTGTGGCATACTGCCTAAAATGGCAATGCCCTGACACACACAAACTAATTTCCTTCTATAAAAGTACCTCAGGCTAACTGCATGCAAGGTATTACAATTCTTCAGTACCTAAAATGGGGTCTTTTCCTTGGTTTTCAGTTTCTCTAAGTCTTCAAACTATTTGACTAATAACACTCACTACTATCATTACCGTTTATATTCTTTGTTTCTAATCTGATACTTGGTTGGCCTAGTGAACAGAGAGTGATGCTACCAAGTCAAAGGTGGGTAACTTTAATCTGTGGCCCTCAGGCCTGTTTTTAATTGTTTTTGGTCAAACATTCTTCTAGGTCATATAGCCCTGGTGAGTCCACTTGCTGTACAAAAGTAACTTGCGGTTGCTGTGAAGCTGAACATTGTGACACTGATGTGTCAAATGCGATAACGGTAACCCATGGTGGACAGTGTTTGGTGGAGCTCCCCAATTCAAACAAGCTTGGAAACAGGAGTGTCATCCACTTCCATAATAGCTTGCCTCGGGAAACCCTATGAACCCGGAGAAAGGATGAAAGTCACACAAGTGTTGAGGACTTTTCGTTCACAGGGTCGCTATGAGTTGCCTACAACTCAATGGCACTTAACAACAACAACAAGAAGCTTATTAAATTTTGTCAAAGGATAAGTAAAATTTTAATCAAACTGCATTTCTTAAGCATCCGCCAGACACTGTACATTAGGGATATGCCACACACTGTGTATTGCATTTTGCCTAAACCATCTAAATTCTAAGCAATATATACTTTCCCCTGTCAATTATAAATGGGAAAGCTAAAATTCAACTTGGTAAAATGCCCAAGGTTTCATCATGGCTACTAAGTATGATAATACCATGACTACTCAGCTCTACCTATGTATTTTCCTTACCTATGTATTTACTCAAAACAACTTGTGCTGCTGGAATAGCATTCATCTGGAGAATGTTGTACTGGTACAGCTCTGTTTCCCTGTTGCTTTTATCTTGCAATGTTGTACAGACCCAATATGCATAACCAATTGCACCCTCCGTCTTAAGGGAAAAAAAAGGTCAACGTTAACAAAGCAGACTCAGTATAAGAAAGTACCAACGGTGGGTGGAGGGAGGGGCAGGTAAAGGAAATAAGAAATATCTGGTGTGGAAAACGATGCATGTGAACTTTGTAAATAAACCAGTAGAAAATAAAAAAAATTTATTTAAAGTAAAAAAGAAAGTACCAACAAAAATTAAGGAATGAAACAATGCACTTCAATTTCATAAACATCATCTCTTAGACATCTTTATGTCAACTGGTAAGGGTCCTAAATGAAGGGTCTCTTATGATAAAAAAACAGTTGAGAACATATTTAATCATCATTTGTTCCAATCATAGGTAGAAGAATCAAATGGGATAAAAACAAGCAGAAGGAAATAGATCTGATCATTAGTTTTTCCCTTCTGGGAATCATCCTCAAAGGACAATAAACATACAAAACTAATAACCAAACAAGAGAATTCCAAAACACTTTGGAAAATAAGTGGGTAATCTGAAAATGTTAACCAAGTCTAATCTTTATCTGACATCTATTTTTTCCTAGACATCAGTTTCTCTGCATTTCTACTATTATATAAATTCTAATTTCATTTCATTAGTTCTTTAAAGCTGATAGAAAGTTTGAAAGTTTAAGACAGTATCTAAGAAAGAATAAAGAGTAAAAACATATTATGACAGAAATATTATATCCCTAATTCTTCATTTTCTTAAAAAGGATCACACTTTATTCATTAGTAAATCCTCAACAAGAACGTTCGAGTCCTTACATGCATACTGAGTTCTGTAGTGTGCCTAAAGAGATCCATTGTGTCATAACTTCCAACTGTCTCCGCAATAAGAGCCTATAAAATTAAAAAAAGACATTTTCTTTAAGTGTTTTACAAGTGAAAAACAATAATAAATGAAACTATTAGGAAGAACCAAAAGTTTACTAGACAGTTGTTTATAGCAAAGGCAATTTCTCTTATCAGTCTTGGCTACTATACTCCCATAGCTGAGGCTAAGAAAGTACTAAATAGGCTTTCAACTATGTGAAATGCTTCCACATGTTCATCTCCAAGCAGTAGTGGTGAAATAATCCACACTATTAGAGCTTAGAGACTGATGAGGTTATGCTACATTTTCTCATCCTTGCCACCACTGATCTTTTCATACTGATGGAGGCTCTTCAAGGACCTCTGGTGGCATAGCCTTGGGAGACAGGTGTATAATCTCTCATGCAATTTACAGCCTCAGTAGCCCAATGGACAGTCAGCTCTGAGTTGATTCCAATTTTATGACAATTAGTTGAGTTTCAGTTGAAAAGTTCATTACAAGACCACCTCAAAATCATCTGGAAGCTTTCAAAAAGAATGTCCTCATTCCCACATATCCAGTTTTCCTAAGTCTGCAAGAAAGTTCAACACGTTTCTTTTTTAAATGGCTTTAAATATTTATGCACTTTTATAAAAAGAATGTCACAAATCAAAATGCATTTTAAGCTCAAGCACATCCTATAAGGGAGCTCTGGTGGCCTCTGGGGAAGAATTTTACACTGTCAACCCCAAGGCAGGTGATTCAAGTCCATTAACTTGTTGCTCCATGGGAGAAAGATGGGCAACTTCCTTCCATAGGATTTCCAACTTCTGAAAACCCTCAGTTATGAGTCAGTCCCAATCAACAGTACATAACAACCACCACCACCTTATATAAGAAACCAAGTTTTTTAGTTATTACAGATTACTAGTATTACCAACAGATTAAGCTTCACTTTTGCTATTGCCATTTTAATTAAAGCTACTGGTTACTTTTTGAAATAAATTATTTTTAAGAATTCAAATAATTTCAAATTAAAAAAGAACTTAAGTGAAGATTTCAATAAGAATCAGAGAGCAACAGACATAAAGCAGTGCTGTTCTAAGTAAGGGCCTTAAAAGTATCATTACTAGACAGCAGTTAGAATACAAGTTCTTGAACCCTCTATGCAAAGTAACTGTCATAAGAGAGATTAACACAATAATGCTAATGCTCCCTGATACTATAAAATTTAATGGGGCCACTGAGTCCAGTATAACCCACAGAGACCCTATGATGTGAACCCTGTCCTATCCTGACACTGTTACTCCTCAAAAATATGGAGAAGTCCCTGACAGCAGCCTTTCTCAATGCAATACACCTTCTGATCTCATGATCGCTGGTACTAAGGGTGTAGACTGTGAATCCAAGTTAAGATGAAGTCATTGACAATTACAATCTTTTCTCCATCTATCATAATGTCTATCAATGTAGGGATGAGGATTTTTGTCTTCTTGACGTGGATATGCAATCCATCTTGAAAGCTGTTTTCACTGATCTTATGCAGCAAGCGTTCCAAGTCATTCTCACTTTCAGCAAGCAAGGATGTGTCATCTGAAAAACGTAGGTTATTGATGATTCGTCCTCTGCTCTTGATGTCACCGTCTTCTTCATAGAATCCTGCTCCTTGAATACTTCACTCAGCATACAGATTGTATTTCTCTTCAGTGGAAACTAGAGTTTACTTTTCTCTTTCAGCTAGCTCTAAAAACTAGTTAGAATTAGACCTAAGAGTCAATAGTCACTGGTACAATTCAAGGTAACAAAATTCAAATAGTTAACTTCTGACAGAGATGATAATTCTACTACCCTGAATAATAGTTATCTATTATTGGCTCATAGTCTTCCTGTGACAGAGTAGTACAGCCTAATAGGATTTTCTAGCCTAAACAGATTTCCAAGTCCTTTTCCCTTGCAGCTGCTAGGCTGTCGGAACTTCCAATATTTAAATTAGTAGTCAAGCATTTGAGCACTGCTCTTCCAGGACTCCTTTTAAAACAATCTACCACTTAATTTTCTAAGGTGTTAAGGAGCAATGCTGTCAGTTTAAAGACTAAGGAGTACCTGAACAAAGTCATGGTCTTTTCCATTACTTGTTATGCATCTGGAAGTTGGACAGTGAATAAGGATAACAGAAAAATAATTGATGTCTCTGAGTTGTGGTGCTGGAGGACAGTCCTAAATATCTCATGGACTTCCAAAAAAACAAACATGTCTTAGAGAAAATGTAGCCAGAGTGCTCCACAGAGGCAAGTATGCCAAAGCTACATCTCACATACTTTGGGCAGGTTGTTAGAAGGGGATGGTCCTTGGAAAAGGACATCATGCTTGGAAAGGTGGAGTCAGAGAGAGGAAGATCTTCAGTAAGTCTGATTGAAACAGTGATTGACAATGGGCTCAAGTATATCAGAGATGATGCGGACTGCATAGGAGAGGACAAGGTTCATATCCATTGTTCATAGGGTTGCTATGAGTTGTAGTCAACTGGAAGCCACTTAATAACAATTTACAACTTTATTATCATTTTACAACTAGATAAGATCTTAGAGATCAGTGAGTCTAATCTCTCATTTTTCAGGTTAAAAAAAAATCTACTTTGAAATCCAGAGAAGTAAAGCAATATACAAGGTCAAACAATCAGTAGGTGACAGAACTTAAAGTTAGCAATCAACTATACTGGCTCCTATTTGCAGTATAAAAATTTCCTTGAACAAAGAGGAATCCTTATTAAAAAGTACTAGCTCAAACAAGAAGATTCCACAGAAAATAATGAGAAGTGAAAACAAGTTTATCTTTTTGCATATATGCATTTAAAAATGAAGTCTTGGGTTTGTTTTTAAGAGCACAAGAGCCTTGGTGGCACAGTGTTTAGATGCTCAGCTGCCAAGCAGGCGGTGAGTGACTCAAACCCACCAGTCTTCCCATGGAGGAAATGATGTAGGAGTCTACTGCTTCTCTAAATATTTACAACCTTGGAACCTAAAGGGCAGTTGTACTCAATCCTGTAATGCTGCTATGGACCAGTTATAACCAATATCTCAAAGACCTGACAAAGAAGTTTTAATGGTTGAATTGTTTATTTCAGATAAGTTGAAGTCTTAACACATTTGTGAGTATGGTCCTGTTTAGATATAGAGATCACTTTTGGTATGCTGATGTGGTCATATTGGAGCTGTTGTTGTTTTTGTTAGGTGCTTTCACTATATCTTATCTTTTCTGAACGTTGTCTTAAAAAGGGAAAACAGATATAAACATATGAGAGGGAAAAGTCACATGGTAACATAGGCAAATGTATCTCTAAGCAGCAAAAGATGGTCAAGGATTGCAAGCATCCACTAGGACAGAGACAGAGTTACCCTGACAATGCCCTGAATTCAAACTTCTAACTTCCAGAACTCAGTTGCTGTTGCAGTTGTTGAGCATCATTGAGTCGGAACTGACCTAGAGCTCATCCTCTATAGAGTTTTCAGAGGCATTTTAATTCAGAACTCTAAGACAATAAATTTCTAGTCTTTAAAGTACTCTCTTAATGAAAAGATAATGACACTGTGTTGAAACAGGTGAAGGGAAGTAAGTATATGTGAAATGAATGGACAATTAGACACTATATGTATTGCAATTAACAATCTGGAATAAGACAGCATTACAGATTGAATGGGGGAAAGGGAACAAGTTGCATAAATGAGTAAATGAAAAACTAATTTCTTTGTAAACTTCCATTTAAATCACAATATTTTTAAAAAGTACTCTTTTACAGTATTTTTATTATGGCAGTATTAGGAAATCAAGGCAAAGCTTTTACTGAAATAATATACACAGATTTAATGCATTGACTAGTATTAAAATAAGCTCTTGAATACAAGCAATTATCATTATTAATAACATTAATAGCTTATCAGTTTATTAATGACTATTTTATATATCTTACTTGTCCAATCCAGCACATTAAATAAGATGGATCAAGAGACTGGGCCATTTTGAAAGCTTCATGAGCTTGCTAAAAGAAGAAAAAGCAAGAAGATATCATATGTAAGGATAATACTATATTGTGGATGTATTAAAAGTATGAAATAAGAGAATAAAAAACATTAGACTTATCAACATTATGTATGTACCCAAAACATTTACAAAACTGTTACAACTCAATTATCAATCGTAAGACAGTATTTTAACTACCTAGTCCTAAAACAGTCTCAGCGGAACAGTTCTCTACTAAACTCGGAGTTCTGGTTCCTCAGCAGATAAAGGTAAAACAGAACTTTAAATCATTCATTCATCTATTTGCTAACCAAGGTTCAAAGAAAGTAATTGAACAAGACTACATCTATTGCCCTTTTCTGGGGGTTTAACTGGAAAGTTAAGAATTCATATCCAGTAAAACTAAAGGGAAGAAACAGGATAGTGAACAACATAAATTTGCACTCAATAGTTTTAAATCTTTAAGAACTTTAAAGATGCTGCACTTGACATATTAATGTGAACACTTGGTTTTTTCTGCTACAAGGAATAACATAATTGTCTGTTGGTTTGTACTGTTTCTCAATAATATAGGTGTTGCAGGAAAGGTGGGCAGCAACCGTGCCAGGCTACCTTAAAATCATATTCATAGCTTATTTAGTAACATGTGTTGCTCTGTTTAAATTTTTCACTTATTTCAAACTCTAATTAATATACTAAAATCTAAAGCTAGACTTTAGATTTAAAAAGGATTACATTCAACTGGCTAAAAGACAACATAGTAAATAGAAGTGCTATTATCTTTAGATTTGTAAAAACTTTCTGAACATGACCTGTTCATGTTCATAAGAGGTCTACTTATTTTAGTTGAATTTCCTGATGTGTAACAGTTAAAGTACAAACAACTACATTGTGGTATTTAAGGGATCAATACCCACTAAAGGCACACCTAAACTACCCATGTTAAATTTAAGCTGCTCAAGCAAAAGAGTACAAGTTGACTACCTTCCTTTACACCTCCCATCCTCACCTCAGCTTAGGTGAGCCAACTCTGAAACAATGAGAAATAAAAAAGGAAATTTCCAAGATAATTCCTATAGGCTTGTTTTAATTCCTAAATAATACAATAACATAGTAGAAAGCAAGGCACTTCTTGACTGGAATAGCAAATAAAAAAAATTTTACGTTTACTGTTTTTGTTATTGGCCATTGAGTCTCTTGCAACTTATAGTGACCCTATGTACAACAGCTCTGAAGCCTGCTCTATCCTGAGCCAACCTCATTGTCTGACACACCTACCTCCACTACGCCAGTCACTGAGACAATCGATGTAATAAATTAAATGCCATCAATTGACTACCACACCTGAGAGTACACAAGAAAAAAAACCCTGTACAAAGTATTCCTCCATAAATAGCTGAGAATGGACAACTTTTTCTACTTTCAATATGACAAAACAGGCAACATATTTACCTCAATCTTTTCATTTGCAAGGTATAACGCTCCCAAGTTGGTCCATGCAACAGCATTCTAAAAAATCGTATTTTCAAAAATTAGGCCTGTTTTCTACTTAAGTCTTAAAAAAATCAGTAACACTTTAAGAATTGAGGTTCTTTCTCATTAAGAGACATAGAAATACTCACAATCTGTTCAGACTGAATTGACTTAATGAAACAGTGCTGAGCAAGGGCATAGTTTCCGATACCTGAAAAATAAAGATTTTTATGAAACAGATTTTATTGTCTGAGAAAATAATCTAAAAAAAAAGGCTGAAATAGGTAATACTCAGTTCTCACCACTGTAACAAGCAACCACACCAAGTGCATTCCAGTATAAGTGGTTATTACTGTCCAGTCTCACAGCCTTTTTCAGACACTAAAAAGAAGCAAAGTTGTATTAATTTGCACTTCTTGAAATATCAGCATTCATCCATGGGGTTGTAATAAATTAGAATCAACTTAACAGCTACAACAACAAAAAAAAACCTGTAAGATAGTACTTTACGTAAGAATATTATAATATCTGAAATAATGTTTATTTAAAAAATTTTCAAAGCCATACATGTAAAGATTTCTCCAGCAACTCCTTGAGATCATCCATATTCCTCCCTGTTTCGGCTAAATGTTGTACTTGGCGATAATAATTAATTCCAAGATCACACCACGTATTAGATGTAGACATCAGTTTTAAAGCACGACCATAACACCTAGAGAAATATAAAAGTGAGTATTATGCTTTGTTAGAATGCTCTAATTTAATTTGAACATAATTAACTGGCAATGTTTAGAAATTACCTTCCTCCAAGATGAAGGAGCTCATGTTTCCTTAATACTTGTTTTCCTTCTTTCTGACCTAGAAGGACTCCTAAAACATTAACATTCACTTTAGATGGCGAGACAGAATGCAGACTGGTGCAAGCATCCCCAACTAGCTTCCAAAGGCAAGACACATCAGCTCGATGCTGCAGCGCCCTAAAATTAAAACATGTGGTTTTTCTAAGTTATTTTTTTAAAAACCCAACAGTCTATGCCCCTCTTAACTACTTAAAATTACAGCAGAGGTATTATACATGCAATCTTAATTATGTGCTTACTCCATTAGTTAAGCTTAGTGCTTTACTGATCTTCTAACTGAATCATGCAATGTTTCCTCCTAATAGGAAGACAGGAACAAAATAGAGGGAAAGGGAAGGAAGAGAAAAGCAGGTAATGAATTAAGTTAAATGGTTGAGATATTGCAGAAGTTACTTTCATAAGCTTCATCACATAAATAAACTGGTAAATTTTCCAGGACCAATTTACTCTTAATATAGCACGTTCTTTTACTATACTTCTGTATAAGCTGTACTGAGGTAATCTGGGGTTGCTGTGATGCTAAACCTGTGCCATTAGGGTGTCAAGTGGCTTAATGGTTACTCATAATGGACAGTGTTTGGAGGAAATCTCAGTTTAAGACAGGTTTGGAAGCAGGAGTGGCATTCACTCCCGAAACAACATGCTTCTGGAAATTCTATAAACTCTGAGAAAGACTGATAGTTATAGAATGGCATCAGGCCTTTCATTCATAGGGTCACTATGAGTCGTGCTCAACTTGACGGCAATCAACAACATGCTCATTCTGTCTCTGTATGTGTGTGTATATGCATGCTTTAGCAACAACTAAGGCAATAAAGTTTGTTAGCTCAAACAGCTGGCTATTGCATTTTGCTCTCACAAAACTTGTCTCAAGTATAAAAGATTAGTTAGCATAAAAAACACATCAAAATACATTTGGTGACCCAAAGAGTATTTATTCTCTAAAACTAAGGTTACGAAAAATTCATATTTATTGAAGCAAATAAGAGCATATTAAAAGAATAAGCTCAAAAAGTAAACAGAAATATTAAATATCTTATAAGTGCACTTTTTTAGGACGAGAAAATCTCAGCTATATATTTCTCTTCTTGAGACTTTTACAAATAAAATGTAGAAACTTCATTCAAGCCAAGTCTGTTCTACCAGCGATCACAAACAGCTATACTACTGACAGATGGACAAGCAGATGGAGTATTTTTCATAGCTCTGTTGCTCAAAGAATCCAGCCAAAAGGCATTTTCCAATACCTCCCTAAGAAAGAAAATTAATTATTGGAGTTAAAACTTAAAGTATACTACAAGGACCAGGTGAAGAGAAAACACTATTTGGAGTACTTTTACTTAAATATTTTAGGAAATTTCTAAATTGACAACATAAAAGGAGAAAACAAGAATATAAAAAGAAACCAAAAAACCAATCATAGCTTGTATCACCTTTGTAATGCAATAGATTGACTTAAACATGGCTTTCCTGGCCATTGGATTTGCTTTCATCACATAGCTGGATAGGATCATAAGGTAAACAGCACCTTTTAGGTGGGAACATGCAAAAAAATGAATGTAGACTACTAACAAATAATCAGTTTGCCATCCCACCAGGATTAAATTGAGCAGGTTCAGAAGCAGAAAACTAGAATCTCACCACCATCAAGAAAAGCCCTTTTGTGAATGAGAGAGCCCTACAGGAGAGACAGCGTGGGACCAAGCCCAGAGCAGCAGCAGCAAAGGTGGAAGGGAATCAGAGATCAACTTGAGATAAAGCAGAACTGGAATTGCTGTTCTGCAAAGCCCAAGGGTCTACACGTAGGCTTACTGGAGGACTGAGGTGAAATGATGCAATCAGCAGAACTAAGAGTAGTGTAACACTATCTCAAAGCTTCAAAGCTGAAGGCCAGGGAGCCTGAGCATGCCTGAGAAGCTGTCCTAACTAAAGGACCTACCTGGATTATAGCCTGTTAATTTCCCTAATAAACAACATGATGGTATGAGTTCTGTATGGTCATTGCAACAACTGGTTAGCAGACCTAGTAGCAGAACAGTGAGAGCATTGGTAGGGACAGTTGGTATTAGAACTGATGGAGCATGGAGGTTTGCCTGTCCTTATAGGAACTGGGTTTGTACTGTGGATGTAGACTGTTTCCCCTTTAGAGTTAGTGGTGGTCACACTATTCTTGCTGTGTCCCGTTGAGTCAGAAGTGACCCACATCTGACCCTCCCGTGGATTTTTCAAAGGCATAAATCATATGGGAGGAGACTGCCCGTTCTTCTCTTGCAGAGCAGCTGGTGCTTTCAAACCATGCAGGCCACCACAACTCACACTATTCTTACAATCTTTCTAATTAAATGAAAATGTAGACGTAAAGTGAAGTAACTTCTATCTCCCCTATTTAAAATTCTTACTGCTTAGGCACCATCAAGCTGGTTCTGGCTCATAGAGACCCTATGTACAACAGAACTAAACACCATCTACTCCTGAACCATTCTCACAATCATTGTGGGAGGATATCAAGGGTATCATCCAGGAAGAGTGCAAACGGTCAAGGCAAAGACAGAAGAGGAAGAAAAGACCCAAGTGGGTGTCAGAAGAAACTTTGAATATTGCACTGGAGTGCAGAGAAGCCAAAGCACAAGGAAGAATCCAAGACACTAAAGAGCTGAACAAAAGATTTCAAAAGGCAGCGCGGGATGACAAAGTGAATTATTACAATGAAATGTGCAAGGAGTTGGAGTCAGAAAACCAAAAGGGTCAAACTCGCTCAGCATTTCTTAAGCTCAAGGAACTGAAGAACAAATACAAACCTCAAGTTGCTATAATCAAGGATGCCTTAGGCAGAGTATTAAATGATCCAGGAGGTATCAAAAGAAGATGGAAAGAATATACTGAGTCATTATATCAAAAGGAATTGGAAGACACAGAAAATTTAATGAAACAACATATGAGCAAGAGGCTATGGTGAGGAAGGAATAAGTTCAAGCTGCTTTGAAAGAAATAGCAAAAAATAAGGTCCCAAGAATAGATGGTATACCAATTAACATAGTTGAGCTAACAGATGCTGCACCAAGTTGTGTCAAGAAAGGTGGAGAACAATCACTTGGCCACCTGACTGGAAGAGATCTATATTTCTTCCCATTCCAAAGAAAGGTGACCCAATAGAGTGTGGAAACTATAGAATAGCATTGATTTCACAAGCAAGCAAGATTCTGAAGATTATCCAAAAATGACTGGAACAGCACATCAGCAGAGAACTGCCAGAAGTCCAGGCTGGGTTTAGAAGGCGTCGTAGTACTAGGGATATTGTAGCTAATGTTAGATGGATATTGGCTGAAAGCATGGAGTACCAGAAGAATGTCTATCTGTGTTTCATTGATTATGCAAAGGCGTTTGACTGTGTGGACCATAACAAACTGTGGCTGACTCTGAGAAGAATGGTAATCCTAGAACACTTGATCGTGCTAATGCGAAACCTATACTTGACCCAAGAGGCAGTCTGCGAAACCTATACTTGACCCAAGAGGCAGTCGTCAGAACAGAGCAAGGAAACACTGCATGGTTCAAAATTGGGAAGGGCGTAGGCCAGGGATGTGTCCTGTCTCCATACCTTTTCAACCTGTATGCAGAACAGATCACCCAGGAGGCTAGGCTCTATGAGGAGAAATGTGGTGTCAGGATTGGTGGAAGATCTATCAACAATCTGCGCTATGCGGATGACACAACCCTGCTTGCTGAAACTGAGGAGGACCTGAAGCGCCTGCTGCTGAGGGTCAAGGACTGCAGCCTCCAATATGGATTGAGGCTCAATGTCAAGAAGACAAAGATTCTCACCACTGGATCAATTGGAAGCAACAGGATGGTAGTTTTATTATACTTCTTAGCCAGTCTGGATGCCTTTTATTTCCTTTTGATACAGCTTTAGTCTGCTTGGCTCCACAATCCACACTCTTGGCACCAGCAGCCGGGAAATTAAAAGACGTATTACGATGGGAAAGTCTACTGTTAGGGACCTCTCTAAAGTACTCAAAAGCAACCGTGGGTCTCTGGAGACTCAGGTGCGTCTGGTACAGGCCATGGTCTCTGCAATCATTTGTTATGCATCAGAGAGCTGGACAATGACCAGGGAAGATAGAAGGAAAATTGATGCTTTTGAGCTTTGGTGTTGGAAAAGAGTGCTGAGGGTGTCATGGACTGCTAAGAAAACAGACAGATTCATCTTGGAGAGGGTTAAACCAGGCTGCTTCTTGGAGGCAAGGAATTCTGAGGCTTCATCTGGCATACTTTGGTCATGCTGTAAGGAGAGACCGGTCCTTGGAGAAGGACATCATGCTTGGGAAGGTGGAAGGCAGGCGCAGGAGGGGAAGGCCCTCTGGGAGATGGACTGATTGGGTGACTGGGGCAATCAGGATGTGTGTCGGAGACAATGAGATTGGCACAGAACAGAGCAGAGTTTAGAGCTGTTGTACATAGATAGGGTCACTATGAGTCGCAAGCCACTCAACGGCACAGATCAACAACAACAACAACTTGCCGCTACTTGACCAATAGCTCTCTTGAGAGTCTTTCTCTTTTTCACTGACCTCTACACCAAGTACAAAGCCTTTCTCTACAAACCATAACCTTGTGATAACACATCCAAAGTATGTTAGACAACATTCATTAATCTTCCTTATTAGGAGCACTTTTGCTTTATATTTCCCCAAACAAATATGGTTGTACTTGAGGCAGTCCATGATATCTTCAATATTACTCACAAACATGATAGATAATTCAAAGGCATCATTAAATCTTCCTTATTTCTGTAGCTTTCTTATGTATGTATGAGTAAAAATCTCATGGCTAGGGTTAAGGGCAACATAGTCCTCAAAGTGGTAACTTTGTTTCTTAACAGTTTATTTCAATTTTTGACAGCTGCTTTCAGTGGCAATGATTCTTGATTCAAATAAAATAAAATTCTTGAAAAACATAAATATTTTCTCAATGTATCATGATATTGCTTGGTTCCGCAATCAACACTCTTGGGACCAGCAGCCAGGAAATCAAAAAATGAATTTCATTGGAAAAGTCTGTTGTAAGAGACCTCTCTAAAGTACTGAAGTGCAACGATGTCAGTCTGGAGACTAAGGTGCACTTGATCTAGGGCATAGTCTTCACAACTATTTGCTATGTGTCAGGAAGCTGGACAATAACTAGGAATGATAAGAAAATTTATGCCTTTGAGCTGTGGTGCTGGAGAAGAGTGTTGAATATACCATGGACTGACAAGAGAATAAACTGGTTCATACTAGAGAGGTAAAATCAGGCTTCTCCTTGGAGGCAAGAATTCTGAAGCTTTGTCTCACGTATTTTGGACATACTGCAAAGAGGGCCCGATCCTTGGAGAGGGGAGGTATCTCTTTGTTCTGTTCAAATGAATGCCTCTCAGTCTATTTACAGGTTCCACATGAGCATAATTAAGCATTCTAGAATACCTATTCTTCGTGATGTTCTACATAATTTATAACCAACATCATTCAATGCCTTTACATAGTTAGTAAAAAACACAAGTAAACATCTTTCTGTTAGTCTATTTTTTTAGTCAAGATCTATATATCAGGAACAACATCCCTGCTTTAATAGCTTTTTCTGAATCCATTTTGAATTTCTAGCAATTTCCTGTTCATTAACTGCTACAATATTTTGGAATTACCTTCAGCAAAACTTTAACTGTGAATATCAATGACATTATTTGATAATTTCGTCATTCTGTTGTATCATTTTCTTTTAAATGAGCTCAATTAATTATGTATCTCTAGTTGGTTGACCAGGTAGCTGTCTTCACAATTTCTTTTTTCTTTTCTAATTGACTTTTACTAATTTTAATGAACATTTACAGAGATTTTGGATTTCCATTCATTCACTGTTGTATTTGTCTCCCTGCTCCCCGCACCCCCAGTTCACTCCTCTCTTTGAAAAGCAAAAGAAAAACTCCTTCACTGGTATACAATCCCCCTGCCCCCACCCCGAGTGCACTCCACTATGCAACCTTAATTCTGGACTCTTGTGATTTTAATATAGATGAGTATTTCCAGCATTACAGTCATTTGTTGAAATGTTGAAACATCTCAATAAGCAGTCTTTTCTGGAATCCTATTTTTTCAATACCCTCAGTGTAGCTTGGACTTCTTCATTTGATACCATTGATACTTCATCACATGCTACTTCCTATAATGATAAGAAAACCACAAATTCATTTTTGTCCCATCTTCACTTGATGTTTCCTGCATCATTCAATATTTTTCTCGTGTTGTGAGGGGCTCTCAAGGTGATTATAACTTACTCTATGAACAACAGATCAGAACATTGCAAATTGAAGCTTAAATTTTTTTTCCCCTTCAGTTCTTTCAATTTGAAGACTGCTGAGTGCATTTTTCCATTCCGTTTTTTAACTCCAGGTTTTTTTATTTGTCTTATAATATTTTGTCTTCTTGAAGCACTCTTTGAAATTTCTAGTCATCTCATTTACTGTTGCTTTCTTTCTTCCCTTTGTTTTAGTTATTCTAGATTTAAGAGCAAGTTTTAAAGTCTCCTCTGATATACATTTTGGTCTTTTCCGTCTTTCGTGTCTTTGTAGTGACCTTTTGCTTTCTTTATGTGTGTGTGATACCCCTGGTGTCATCCCACACCTCATCTGGTGTTCAGTCATGTGTGTTCAAAGTATCAAATGTATTCTTGAAATGATATTTAAATTCAAGTTTGATATACTCATGACAGATTAGTTTTCATTTTCTTCAGCTTCCATTTAAACTTGCATATAAGCAATTGATTGTCTGTTCATTCTCCCTTGTCTCATACCACAGATGTAGTCAACTGTCCTGAGTATTCATCTGATGAGGTCTAAGTCATTCAGTTATGTTTAATTAAAAAAGTATTTATAAAAAAATAAGCTGTTAGTCTTGTAGAATTCGATCAAATATTCTCTGGCATCTTATCTGTCATATTTTCCAACTGCTGATACTTCTTAGTTTTCCATTTTCACATTCCAATCACTAGTAATTATCAACACATTTTGATCATATGTTTGATCAATTTCAAATTGCAGAAATTGGTAAAAATCCTCAATTTCTTCATCTTTGGTATTCGTGGTTGGTGCGTAAATTTGAAAAACAGTCAAAAACTGTTCTTCCTTTCAGATATCTCAATAGTGACAATGACAGCAGTGTACTTCAAAATAGATCTTGAAATATTTTTGAAGATGGATCCAGTGTTCTCTCTCTTCAAATTGTTATTACCAGTATTAAGCCAAATGATTGTCCAATTCTGGCCTAGTGGTAAAAAGATGTGCTATAATCCCAAAGGCACATGATTTGAATCCACCAGCTACTCTCCAGAAGTAAGGGCAATCTCCTTCCCTGCAATTTACTGCCTTTGAAAACACACTAGAGGGTTGGCTATGAGTGGGTTTTTACTTGACAGCACACAATAACAACAATCCATTTCAACTCAATAATGTCAGATATCAAACTTTGTACACCCCAACTGATTTCTTATGACTTCTAGCTTATTGAAAGTGAGGGCTTTGAACACTTGCTGCAGAAGATCAAAGACTACTGTCTTCAATACGGACATATCTCAACATCAAGAAGACACAAGTCCTCACCACTGGACCAATTAGCAGTATCAAGATAAATGGAGAAAATAATGAAGTTTTCAACAATTTCATCTTACTTGGATACACAATCAGTTTTCATGTTTCAACCACATTCATAGTCACACCACCAAGTAATGGGAAACAGAGGTGAAGGCAAATAAATTCAGAAAGGCAAGTAAATGCAGGAAAGTTCAATGATGAAGTACAACAGGAAAAAAAAATCAACTGTATATTTAATTTGTGAGCTTTTTAACATCATCCACCACAAATAACATTCCTAATCAAGAAATGTATAGTTCTATAAATATAT